GGCATGATCTAGGTCACACAAGAGTAAAAACCACCTGAACTTTCTGGAGGCCCATAGAGGATTCCCTTCCTTCATGGAAAGCATAAATTTATTAATAGACTCTGCAGGTTTCTATCATACCTTCTAAATGCAGACAAACACAAGACATGGTTTATGGAATGAAAAGGTAAATTAAAGTTTTAAAAAACCTTAATAAATTCAGGAAGTTGGAGCTTGTTTCACATTCTGATTCTCCTTTTTTTGTTTTTTTGTTTTTTTTTAATGTCATTATGCTGCTACAGCACAGCTGCTCAGCAGTGAAAATTGAGTGGTCCTTCAACTTGTGGTTCTGAGTTTGTTTGGTTTTTTTAGAACTACAGTATCTCCATCTGCTTTTGTTGAGCTTTAGAAGGTCTCTTGTCACTGGTGTTGCCTTGCTGTCCAGGCTGCTGTTTAATTATTTTTTATTAAAAGGAGGCAGCACACCATGTGCCCTGTGGAATATGTGTTAAAGATTAGCACTGAGCTTATGTGAGAAGGGCTGTAATTGCCAGTATCGCTCTGAGATGTGACATTTCTCTTCTATGCTCCCAGTAGAAGCTTCTGATACCAATGTCCACAGCAAACAGTGCAGTATTTGAACTAACATTTAGTTCTTTCTTCTCTTCACAGCTAGGGTGGCAGAACACAAAAGCATCTCAGGATGTCTGTAATTCAGCAAGGGACGGCAACACTTCGCAAAGCAAAGAAAGCCGCCATAAAAACATGTCTAGATAACCCCTTTGTTTTAGAGTGGAAAACCATTGATGGAGAAGACATGCATTTTATCTTACAGACCTTAGAAGAAAGGATTAAACATATTGGGCTTAAAAAGGTTGAGACTCCAAGAATGAAAAAACGTTCCCTTACAAAAAAACGAACGGAAAGAAAGTGCAACACTAGCACCAGCAAACTCCCCAAGGAACAGGATGCAGAAGGCCATCGACAAAAAACAGGGTGGACTGACGCAAGTATCAGAAGACAGCTTGCTATTGGAGTTAATGAAGTTACAAAAGCATTGGAAAAAGATGAACTTCTTCTCTTGCTGGTGTGCAAGTCTGCAAAGCCTGCCATGATCACATCGCACCTCATTCAGCTGAGCGCAAGTCGAGCCACACCAGCAGGGCAGGTTCCCCGCCTCAGTGAAACTATTGCACCGCTTCTCGGCTTAACGTCCATTTTAGCACTAGGCTTTAAAAAGCAGTCTGATAAATTTACAGAAGCAATAGCAGCAATAATTCCCAAGATACCAGCTTTGGAAGTGCCGTGGTTTCAGTACACAACTGAAGAAGCTGTGGATTTTGCTCATGCAGGTTCTTCAGAAAATGAGGAACCTGAGCAGCTTGCAGAGGTGCTGGGGGATGAGTTCACGAGCCAGAAGCGGAAGCGTTTGGAAAGCAATCTTTCAAATGTAATTTTGCAGCCTATGAAAATCAAGAAACTTGTCCCAAATCCAAATAAGATAAAAAAACCACCTCGCAAAAAGAAGAAAGCTTTTTCAGCATAACTGATTTTTTAAACGCAATATGGAGTACAGCTCCAACTGAACTATCTTGTTAGGCTTTACAGCGTAAAGCACTTGACTACAAGGTGAACTTGATGTTGCATTCAGTTGAGGTACTTTCTGTTTTAATAAAGAATATTGCTCAAACTTGGGTGTGAGTCCTTACCTGGGGGCGAATATTTCATTTGCACAGTTAAAATTGATGATGAATATGCTGATGTAATTTAAGACATTATAATAAGTACATCTTTGGAATTAATGCAAAGCACTAAACAAATTTTGTATTTTTATACAGACGAACATGCTTCAAGCAAAACAGATTTAAGTATAATTATTCAAACAAATCAATACCAAAAGTGAAAGTTTATTTAAACAAAGGTCCATGCCGGTATAACTTTTAAAGCTGGTTCAATGCTTTTTTCAAGTAAACAGCACACTTGGACTTCCCTTTTGAACTGTCATAGTTTGCTGAACAATAACCTTGTTCTGGTGAAGAACATATGCAGGCTTGACTTCTATCTAATACCTGGTGTCTCATACGCTGAAGGAACAATCTTCAAATACAGAACAAAACCCAATTACTACTGCTGTATTTTGAAAGCTGGCTTCCTTATGCAAACTATTAACACACACCCTGTGAGAAAATGTAATCTAACCTAAACTCCATTTGATTTCTAAATGGAGTCGATTAATTTCCCAGGAAATTAGGTACACCTTACGCTGTTGAGTATACAGTAGATGACAGTTGTAACTGCTACAAGACTGAAAACATTCCATGTAACTTTTGAGTTTTCTTTAGTTTTACTAGAGACTACAAATAGTTTCCTAATGAGATAATTGTGCTGTAAGGAAGGAGGAGGAATAGTGCTGCAATTCAGACAATCAAAATCAACAGCCGAGGAACTTACTTGGCGCTGTGTAGTTTAAGCAAACATCAGTGTGGTATTTTAGAAGAAACCACAAAATACCTTGAGTTACTTTGTTGATCCTTAAAAATGGAATTTACGTGTTGTAGGTTTCAGAAATTTGCTAATCCAAATGTCCAGTACCATCAGATACCTAATCTGTATTTTGGGTTTATTTAGGTGTGACTTTTAAGTTCATGATACCAGCTACAAAGGGAGGCAGTAGCAATGATTCTGTAGTTGTGATGCTCCCTGAAGTTTAAGTAAAAGAAAGATGTTCAATGCCAAAGTTTTTGCCCTCCCTGGCTGAGGGTGGCAAGAAGAGATGAGGTTTTTTTGTCTGGCTTTGTAGTGCTTCATACATAGCCTTTGTTCTGGCTTTTTGTATGCACAAAATCTTGAAAGCATGCTAGCACTAGTGTACTTAGCCATGCTATCTAACTGTAACATTTACAAGACAGGGAAGTTTGCCCTTCAGATTCAGAAGGAAATGGCACTATCCTCCCAGTATACAGCACAAGAGCAGCCACACGCCTTCCTTCATGTGCAATTACTGTAAGACTAGGGCAGAAAGCCAGGCTGCAGGAAAGCCAGGTTCAAGTCTGTCTTCTACTTGGACATCTGTGGGCCCATCATGGCCTCAATGCTTTTCCAAACAACAGTGCTGGGGAGGATTTGCCTTCTGATTTCAGAGAAGAGAGAAAAGAAAATGTCTGGCTACCCTTTCTTTCACTTGCATTTTCATGAAAGGAAAGGAAGGCAGAGAACATGAGCATATCTTTCACCTGGCATTCAAAATCATCTTCCAGGTAAGGGAATGCTGGGCTAGCACCATTTCTTAGCAACTCAGTACCTTAGCCATGAGGACAGAGCTATGCCCTGCTGTCCACCTCATGTTAAACAGCAGCCAAGTGAGCTCTGCCTTTAGACCTGAAGCAGAACACACAGCTCCTTGGCGGACCTTCCTCCTCATCCCAGCAGACTCCAATGCCAATGTCCAGCCAGGAAGGCACCTTCCTGCCTTTTGGGAATTAAGAGCTAAGTCTTTGATGTAGGCGAGATTAAATCCTTCTTGAAACCTCAGATATCACTACCATCAGCTACAGTTTCAGGCACTTAATTCTGCTCGGGCCTCACACACGGAGTCAAAGCTCCCTCTGTACCATCTGTTATGACTGCTGCTAGCAGACAGCTATCATCAGAGGGCCAAAGTTGTAGAGCCCAGCTGCACCATTAGATGTCTGAAAGATCTCCTCTGAAGCCCTTTTGAACTAATGAGGTCCCAAGCCAGTGCATACCCAGGGGTCAGACAAACCACGTTCAATCCCTTCCTTTGTTTGAAGGAAGTCGAATGCTTTAATCGTAGAGCTATAATGCAATAAGGGAAAGTACTTATCACTGTCTCTAGGCAATTCAACAAGAAAAAGAAACCAAACCACAAACCATTCACACATTGGAAAAGGAGTGGGAAGAAAGAAAAACCCCACTGCTATAAGGAGGTGGGTAGGGCTAGCAGTTATGAAGAACAGACAAATTTATCTTCATCTAAATTGATGTTTTCAGGTACAGAATTCAACTTCCAGCAAAATCTGCTTTCAGAATTACAGGCATGTTTAAAAGGAAAGTTTAGACATTTGCATTTCATGAGATATTCATGTCACATTCAAAAGATGCTTACAGCATGGAGGCTTCACTACCACAATTTGGCACTTTCAGCTAGAACACTTTCTTACTGCAGACTTTCTCAGTGCTCACGTTACTGCAGCATGCGTGAGCTGAAAGAACTGCTACCATATCTAGCTATGACACTATGCTGGAATGCATATAAAGTGCTTCTGAAGCCACTCTGGTTGCTGAGCATTCATGAGGGAATTAACAGTTCCCCCCAACAATAAAGATCAGCCCTCCTACATTTCAGGAAGCGCAGTACAAAGACGTCCAAGGACTGAGGGTAGAGTATTTCTCTTCTGCTTACCAGCCACATATATAGTAAAACTTCTTGTTCCAAAGTCAGGATAAAAACACTACCAGGAACAATTTCTGAATAAGTATTTACACAAGATACTTTTCATTAGAATTACAGACTTCATAGGAAATCAAAGTAGACAAAGGAATATGTGCAATTTCGCAGAAGCGTTGAAAACATTCAAACTATAAATATCCTGATAGCACTACTAAAATTCTTAGTTTTACACACAGGCTGATGTTATTCTACTGAGGAAAAACTAAGGTTTTGTGCCACAACTGTAAATTAAGTACAGTAATGTATTATCATTCCGGCAACATAGATAACACCTGCACTGAACAGTGCGATACTGTTAAATCAATCCACTGATCTATCGAAGATCAAAGTACAAATCTGTATTTTTATTGATTTGGCAGCGTTGCTTATGGAGAAACAAATGCACTAGTTAAACCAGTACATTGTCATACTGCTCCAGTTACAAAAACATCCAGGACTTCCATAGAGCTACAAACGTATTGTACTTCATTATTTTTCCCCCAAATGATGATATCCATGTGAAGTAAATAAGCAAAGATACTCAAGTTTGTATCCTTCATTCTGTTACACTGACAAACATACACCACCACTTAATAAATAGAAATGCAGCAGTTCATCCACATAATAGCAAATATTTTTGTACCCTAATCCACCACTGAAGTTCAGTTTGTACAAAACAGTCTTTTCTAGAGAGTGGAAAAAAAATACCTTCTTCTCATCAAGGTGCAAGCTAAGCTTTGAAACTTAAATGAATGTGCTTTTATTCTTTTCATGGACAATAAAAGAGTTTCATGGACCTTCTGATCTATCTGAAAATGCACAAATTTGGTCACATATGGATGTCGTCATTGTTCACGTTTAATGGACTATCTCAGTATCACCGACATTGTGCTTTTACTCCTCTTGAACAACACCGTTCCAAGAGTTATGGAGATCAAATTAACTCAAACGATGACCTCAAAGTTCTAGAAACATAAGAGTCCTCATTGTAATACAAGACCAACCTAAAGGAAGAAGAAAAAGACAGCATTTTAGTTCAAGTATGGCAATAAATCTAAATAGCATTACTTTTCTACATGTCAATTATAGATCTTAAATATGACCGATTAAAAAAGTTATTTCGAAACATTTTGGCCAATGCAGATTAATGTACCATTACACCAAAGAGAATTCAGAAGCTCTTTTTTTCTCCCTTACCTTTTCAGATTCCATGCCAGGACACCTCCAGTTGTACAAATAATACTGCAAATTTCCATCTCCAATCCCAAACTTGAGTTTTTCCAGGAATGTTTTGTTTTCCATTAAGTCTAGTGCATTGAACACATCAAATCCTTTCTGGCAATAGCAAAACATTTTTTAAATTTTACCTTTTAAAGTTTCAAATGATACAGGCAATGTGGCATGCAATATCCAAGAGACTAGGCTAATTAAGTGGAAAAAAAGACAAGGGAATAAATCTTGCTTTTTAATTAGGTACACAAACAAAGAAATTTTCCCAATAGAAAGTGAAGTATAAGGCACAACTTTGCTTGAAGATTGCCTCCAAAAAGGCAGGAATTTTAAAGCCACTTTCAGGGGTAAAGGTCTGAAGAGTCCCTAAAGCATTATCTATTATCCTATCACTACAGATAGGCATTTTTTACAGTCACATACAGTGTTTTGACACACATGGCCTGTTCCAGGTAAAGCTGCATAATTACGGTTTATGGTGTTTTCAGGCATTTATCATTCTGTTAAATGTTTATTTCTGTGATTTGGTCCTTTTCTGAAATGCCATTCTATTTAGAACTCAAATCTTTCACATTACTCTCCCTCATGCACCCTCTACCAAGACCTCTCTTCCTCAATCTCCCAAATTCACCACTCAAAAAGCCATTCTGCTCCCAGAACAGCCACACAGCCAAACTACTCTCAGGGTTCAGTGCAGCAACACAAGCATACTCAAACCCCAAGTTACTGTGAACTCTTAACATGCAACATAGAAATAAAGTCCATCACAGTGACAGTCATCATGTATGAATAAGTGAATTTGCTTGAGGTTCCGGATATAAAACTCTATTTGCTTGCAAGTAACTGTGAGGGAGTCAGACCAAAGAACCTGAAGTCTTAACAGCACAAAGGCTGTGTGCCAGCAGGACTTCAGGCACACATGTGACTGCTTTCATGTAGCTTGAAGTCTGAACAGATACAGCCTTTGCAGACCATCACTGGCTTCATACAGGATCGACACAGAAATGCTGTGTCACATGCAGCACAGATGGCTCTGAATGTGGTCTGCTGGAACACAGCTAGAATTCCTTGCATTGAGCACTCAATCTGGTAGGTGTAATACCACAAGCAGTGCGGCAGCAACACTTCAGATGGGAGGGGCAAGCTTCAAGCGTAAGGAGCAGAAAACATGCCTATGCTCTGCAGTGTGTTGGGAATGGTTGCTAGAATGAATACCATAGACTAGATGAAGCCTGTGCAGTGCTGTGGATTGCCAGGGCTAAACAGGTCCCTGAGAATTCAGAGTGCTGGGATGCACATCACTTGCACAGCTCTGCACCAGACTATATTGCCACTGGTGTTTGCACTGCAGCCCCACAAAAGCCTGATGATTAAGGACTGAGTATTAAGTTTTCCATCAGACAGCACCAAACTCTTAAAATTCTTATGTTCAAAAACTTCCATTTATAGTCTCTTCCCTTCAACTAAACCATCTGTCAGTGTAATTCCATGCATGAAGGTGTGCTTCAAAGCTACAACATAACAGAGCTTTATAAGCAACAACGTAAAATGATAAAGCTTGCACAAAACAACTTTTACATTTTGTAGAAATAAAAAATAGTTTAAACAAAATGTATTTAATAGAACTTATTAACTCATCTTCAAGGGAAACTATTTTAGTGATACTTTCCATTCTTCTGGTACTTAGTGAATATGGTCATCAGTGTGCTCTTGGATATTTACAGAGCTCAAGCTATTGCAAACACTTGATCTTCATGCACTTGTCATTGCCTAGCATTGCTCAGAGGAAAACAAGAATAGCATTTTATACTTTAATATATATGGTGTATGTCTCATCAACTGCACTCTGTACTGTGAACAGCAGAAGAAATCAGAATGCAATGATACGGATAAACTTCTGCCTGTTCTTACCTTGCCAGCCCTCCTAAGAATACTTCTGTGAAAGAAGCAGAAAAAAAACCCCACCCCAACATAACTTACCAATTTAGCTATAATGAGTGCGTCATTCATTAAGTCCAAGAGCGGGGTCTCTGTATGAATGTTGTAAAAGGAATAGGCAGCTTTGAGGCTTTTATGAACAGGATGGTGCATCACTGTTGAAGGTAATGTGTAGAAACTCAGGAAGTCTGTTAAAACACCATTTGAGCCCTACAAAAGAAAAAACAGAGTCAATTAGTAAGAAGTAACCACTCGGTTATTGGTTAGGCTGACACGACAGTTCTAAGGAAAGTAATAAATATAGCACAGTTCTGGGCACTGTAAGTATTACGGTGTAACAGGTAATCTTGGCTAAGGTTTGAAGAAACTGAATTCTTGCCAAGGATGTATCTATACATCAGAGTGAGACTGAAGCCTGAAATACTCACTTCAGAAAAGGAAACAAACATTTAGATTTTTCTAGTCTATTACACCAATAACATTTTGACAAGGAATTGCCAAAGCATTACAGTTTGTTTTCCAAGCTTAGCCTAATATCAACAGAGCACACTTCCAAAAAAAAGTACAGAAATTTGTTTCCAATCGAAATATTTTTTAAAAGAATGCTTTTTAAAACTGATGAAGTTCACAGTGAGGAGTAGTTTTCTCAACTTTCTAATACCAGGGAAAAAAAAGTACTGTGCTGGCATACAAAGCATAGTTAAATCAGGTCTAGTGATTATTATTCAACTATTAATCCATTTGCTACTATTAATCCATTTGCTAGACAACTGCTAAATTACACTGAAATTCTATTAAGAACAGTAGTGATCAAAAAAGGTACTTACACAGAAACCTAAAGTATCCTACATAAACTTTCTTTATATGTCATGCACCTAATGCAGTTCTTAATTATCTTCTGGAGTGTAGATTAGTAGGAATGGGAAATAATTGTTACACAGGTTATGACTGACATGCTGAGCACAAAAAAACCTACCCAGATTTTCACTCATGCTATTCCAATTGGGTCTCCTGATATCTCCAAGAAGATAAGGCAAAGGAGAAACACAAATGCTTGTTCTTGCTTGTTTGCTTTGGTTTGAGTGACTGGTGCCCACTATTTTGAGCTCAGTGAAGGACCTCACATGGATCCTTAAACTGATAGTACTTCTACAGTAAAAGTAAGGGAGCTGAACCCACCACATGCAAAAAAGCTATTGTCTTAAAGCAGGTACAGATTCTATAGTAGAGATAAACCAAAAACAAGTAACAGAAAAATTACTAAGTCCCTCACTAAATTCAGTAAGGACAATAAAAATATTAATTCAGGAATTACATAGACTATTTTAAGGTTTTAGCTCTGCACATTAGAAAGATGACTTAAAAATCTAATGCTAACTTCTCCAGGTCACGCATGTCTCTAAGCACTAAGCAATCCAAACTAGATGAGCTTAAGGTCCTTAAGGTTCTTTCCAACCCTAACTATTCTATGATTCTATGAAAGTAGAAAGGTAAGCTTGGGACAATGACAAGTGACAAGCACGACCTCTCATGTCCATCAGCAATAAGTTTCTAAATTCAGCTGAGACTCCTGCACAAATTCAGGCTGCAATGTGAGAACACTGAGCTTCACAACCTTCAGCTTCTGCGAGGAGCTGGTAGGTTTAGGAATGTTAGTGCTGATTATTTTCAAATAACCTTGTCTCTTTAAACAAAGTAATACACTATCCAAGTATGATGTCTACAACTGATTTAGTATGGACTCAAAGGGAAGAGTGCCTCTTTCTCCACTAGCTTTATCGCAGCTATTCTAACCACACCTTGGAGATTTCCACTCCAAATGGTGATCTATTCCTGCTCTGCTTATTTTGCAAGAAGTGTTGTGACCAACAGGCTGGAGGGTGGGAGTAGTAGAGTGGGGAGGGAAGAGTAAGTGTTAGGAACAGATGATGCTCTCCATCTTTTTAGTGGACAAAGACTGTAATTTTCAAGATAATTTAACTGCTAGCTGACAACACAACAGCACCAAAAGATGTTAACTTTTACTTCTCTATTTTACATATACATGTTTATTTGTACATACACATAGACACACACTTTTTTACTGGGAAAAAAAAAAAACCAAAACAACCATTTACTGAAGCAGACCATCAAAAAACATAATTAGCCCAGCAGGTGCCCCTAAAACTGGTTTTAAAAATAAAGAATTTTGAAGTAGTGTATGGCAAAAACTGAGACACCTGAGAGAACAATACTGAACTCAAACTAAATCCTTATCTCAGTCATTGTGTAATTTTTTCTTTTTTCTAGAAAACAAGATTTGAAGACCGCTGCTTGTTATCATGTCATATCTCTATAGAAAAAATGGACAAGTGGAGGTGGAAGGGTTGTTTTTAAAATACGTAAAGTTCTTTTCCATAATATTTCCAAGATAGTGATACTTTGAGTTTTCAAAATTCTTCTTAAAAATACCCTGCTATAAGAGCTGCAGTATTACCACAACCAAACGCTCTCTCATTAACAGGATGCAATGCAAAGAACAAAGCTTGGAATCAGTATCAAATTCTACCTATAGCACAGATTTTTCATATTGTCCACATTTCAAAAACTTGATGCTGACATGAGCTTTTGTAAGCGCCATTCACATACACATTCATCGAGCAGTTAGGGCATGTTTTACCTCTACTACGTAAGTGTCAATAATATGATCCCGAGGCAGGAACCAGTGGGCTACCTCTTCTTCATCCATCACAGGAGCAAGATTAAACTGTTTCAAGTAAGTGTTGATTAATTCTTGTACTGTTTTAGTATCCTTTTGTTCCATTGGTCTCAAACCTGAAGTCTTTGTGGCCTTATTGTAACAAAAGAAAAACAGATGTTAAGACACTGAAAGGAAAACTGCATACACAGCAAAGCCTGAAAGTAGGTTGCAGACTCACTCCATTTGCTATAATGCATTCATTATTAGCCTACTTTACCCCAGCCACCTAATTCATTATGCTATTTTGCAAACGGCTTTCAATCAGAATTCCCTCTCTTCTAATTATTGAGACAGTCTGGGGCACTTCAATCTTTATATTTCATTATTGAAACAGCTTCATTTCTCCAGAGAAATACACGCCACTGCCAACAGCCTAGACTTCACGCATTTTGTACTGTTTAATTTTTTTTAGGACAGTCTTTATTTCTTATCTTCTTCTAAACTACCTAGGGCCCAGACACAGAAACAAAATATAAAGCAACTTGCCTATCAGAAATTAATCTGAAGACAAGAACACTTGTGATTCAACCAAAGTCAGCTGATAAAGTATAATTAGAAATTATTTTCTTTCTAAAGTCCACCTATTATTAACACTTGCAAACTCCCTTGCTAACTCAACTTTGTATACAGGCACAACTGCTGTTGTGTTAACAAGAAAGCTTCTCATAACTTACAGGTGCCCAAAATCAAAAACCTACAGTATTTTAACAAATAAAGTTACTTATTTGGCTTTAAACATCAGAAAATGAAATACTGCTTTCCAGGAGTATGCAATTAATGTTTAAACAAGTAAAGGTAATTAAAGTTTTCTTCCCAGCTTTTATTAGCTTTCCTGAATGTTTCCTTTTAGGGAGGCCGAGGCTCGCTCTCTTCAGAGCTCATTTATCCTGCTTCATCTGTCTGAGCTACATACACATACCACATTAATCATAGCAAAGTCAATTGCAAGAGCAAGCCAGGTAGACACTTGATTACTGGAAGCCTGAAATTAGTGTATTTGATTATGGTTTGCTCAAAAGGCATTATTCAGGGGAAGGTGTTTATTCACATACTCTGGGAATCAGCAGCCAGATGAAAAAAACAAGGCACATTTTTCCACAGCTCTGCCCTGTGTATTACATTTTAGTCTTCCTGCTTTCCTCAGCAGCCTGGGACTATGGTTTGTCTCCACAACAGCACTTCATCTAGATTTTTAAATGCCCTAAATACAAATTGGTATTCACCTGACTCATCAACACGACACTTCCTATGCCGTATTTCAATCATAACCTATAAAAGGTTAATTTTGGCTTCCTCCAAGCCTTTATCCTTCTTCTAAAGCCATACACAGGAACAGGATGAGAGAAAAAGCAGCTGGGCTGGAACATCTTTATCACCCAGCAATGCTCAGAATGACTACCAGTAACTGATTATTTGCAGCCCCAGAAGTGAGGGAAAGTGCACAGAACTGAGCTAAAATTTGTTTCTCTGCTCCACATATCAAGCTGCACTGGGCACATATTCATGCCAGTATCCTGGCTCAGGATCACAGCCAGGAAAAGACATACAAAGATGCTCCTGTCCTTATTCTAAACACAGCCAAAATCTACCTCTTTCAGAAAACTCCTTGCTCAAGAGATTAAACACTTAAGAAAAAAACCCACTTTATTTATTATATCTCTAGGTACATGCACAAACGCAGCCTTCAGTGAGGGTGGTATTTATTAGTTCATAATATTTAACCTTTTTAATTCAGAGTGTTCAAGTGATTAGGAATGATTAATTCCTTTTAAAGTGAGACTAGCTTCCAATAGCAATGATACTCCAAGGACACAATGAAAAGAGGTTAAAATGCAAGAAACAGTATTTGGTGCTAAGGAACAGGACAGAGTGACCTTACTGAACGAATTTGTGTAGTGGTACTGTTTATGGTAACAGTCTGAAACTGAGGATAAAGACCCTCAACAGCACTTAAACCCCTTGTCAAGAATAAAAAAACCCAAACCAAAACAACCAAAAAACCCAAAGCACAAAACCTAAAGAAAAAACATTAACATGAAGATTAAACCTTTATTTCCCATGGGAGAAGCTCCCAGGTCCAATCTAAAAATACACAGCTGGGGCATATGGACTCCTACATGACTTGGTTTTAAAAGTTGCTTTTCAAAGCACCTGTTTTCTATTTGCACATCTCTGTACAGTATGTTTGCCTTAGCTATATGTTCTGCATGAGATACGATCTATTCTTTGTTTTCCATAATTTACTTTTCTGTTGAAATCTGGGGGTTTATTATGATACGAAGATGATCAGGGTACAGTTGCTGTTGTTTCTAATGATTCTCTGTAGGTACACTTTTTGTACTGTAAGAAAGATCCTTATTCTTTATTCTTTTCCTGTACTGCTTCCATGAGAAACAATACTAGAGTTGCCATCAAAACCTGTATTTGAAATGGTCTACTGCACTTTTTCAGACTATTAAAAAAGTCTTCACGATTTGATGGAAGCTATATTTAGCTCTCCATGATTAAAACCTAATTAATTTGGTTATTAATTCTTAAGCTCTGAAAACTGCTGCCCTGCATGCAAGGGAGAACCTGCATGTGCAGACACAGGTAGCATGCAGGCAGTAGAGAAAACCAGTCTCTCTGACAGCAGCAGCAGTTCATATCAAGCCATGACATGTGCTTTATACTGGTAAGTGCTTAGTGTACTACTAACATATACAAGTAGTAAAAGAACCTGCTTCATCAAGGTAATATAAACAGATGCAATTTTCCAAGTCAGATAAATCATTACAAAGTACTAGAAGTGAAGAAAAATGTTTTTTGTTTTTTTGAGGTTTTTTTAAACCAAAAGGGAGGGTTTGTTTAAATAAAAAAAAAAAAAAGGTTCACTGATATGGTACAGGTAAAGGGTATTTTGCAATCCCTCCAAATAGAAGAGTAGCTTTTACAAGCAAAGTTGTTTTCAAATCATAAAGCTCAGACTATCTTCTACAGGCTATTAATTATGGCAATGAGATTTTTTAATAGTACATCTCAGACTACTTACAGTGACTTGCCCTGTCTTGGAAATGCACCCTAAGGCTTTTTGCCAGCCTAACTACTAGCTGCAAACATAAGGAGAAATATTAGTAACCAACCTAGCTATGCCAGAACACTTGGGGTTTTTTCGCTAGACCATCCAAACAAACAGTACACAACATACTGAGGTGGCTTTTGCTGAGCCTGTTTACTGCAGAACAACATTCTCTGACAGAACAAGCTGTGAATCAGAGTCAAATCAACAACCCCACTGTACTCAGTTAGCTTTCTGATGGACTTCTCTGACATTTTTAAGACATGAACTGTTGATTTTCTGTTCCAGTAATGTCTTATCAGATTAATCATATGGAGAATAGTTTTAGACATCTTCAACTCAATCCCACATGTATAAGAAGTCAAGGTTTCTGGTTTTTTATTTGTTTGTTTATGGCTTTTTGATCAAAAGTTCTATTTTCTCCATATACAGATCTACATTTCCAGCAAGTCTCTCCTGTTTAGTACGCCTTTTTCATCAACCAGAGATTTTTGTTTTTTAACCCAATGTCCTGCACACACTGCCTTTCCAGAAAAGCCTGTGCTGTCAGAGACAGATGGAAGGTTATTTTGGGCCTCACAGTAACTGTGGGGTTCTCTGTAAGTCATACTGCTTACATCAGGAAGTCTGTAGAGCTTCATTGTTCTTTGTAGAGTCATGTTTCTACTCAAATGTGAAAATTTCACCTCCACCAGTTTTCTGGGATTCAGTGATCGATGCCAATACCTGGAAATAAAATTAATAATGAGATTAAATAGCATTCATTTCCCTACTTTCTTGCATTGCTCCTTCTCCTCTCCAAATTTGTTTCTAAACAAACCTGTAGTATGCCTGTAAGAAGCTTCAGAATAAAAATATACAGCTGCATCCAAGCAGTAGCTTACAACAATGCCTGCTATAACCATATCTTTAAACTAAGCAAATGTTTTTTATTACAGAATGAGTGATCACATTTTAGTACATTGTCCTGAATATCTGTATGCTTCTATAGGTATGTAGCAAATAAAAGACAGACTAGGGACAACGTGGGCCCTCTCTGGAAGCTATCAGGAGAACTCACTACCCTGGATTTGGAGAAGGCTGAGGTTCTTAATGACTTCTTTGCCTCTGTCTTCACTAGCAAATGCTCAGACCACACCACACAAATCTTGGAAGGCAAATGCAGGGACTGTAAGAATGAAGACCTTAGGCACACTGTAGGAGAGGATCAGGTTCGAGACAACCTTAAGAACCTGAACGTGCACAAGTCTATGGGACATGATGAAGAGCCCAGGGAACCGGACGAAACCCATCCACAGGTCCTGAAGGAGCTGGCGAATGAAGTTGCTCGGCCACTGCCCATCATATTTGAAAAGTCATAGCAGTCAAGTGAAGTTCCTGATGACTGGAAG